AGCCTCAACGGAGAGCAGCGTGAACAAAAACACTGCGTGGCGCAAATCAACACGCACCACAACGCGACACGTAAAACAAAAGCCAAAAGTGACAATAATCCAGGGAACAGGCAAAACAAAATCAACGAAGACAAAAAAAAAAAAACAGAAAAAACGGGGACCGAGAGTGAAAACGAAAAATGGTACTCTCCGAATCGCCCAGCGGTGAGGCACAAAGGAGGCGCTGCAGTTGCAGTTATTTATTTACTTTTTGCCGCGCCCCGCGGCGTCCCCGCGTAGTAGACCACGCCGCCCCCAAGAAGGAGAAGAAAACGCCCGTCACCCGCACACCTTACGGCATGGACTTCCGGTACGCGTACGTCTGCGCAAAGCGTTTCTGCAGCCAATCCGAGGCCTTGACAGGCGGGTATCTGGCGGGGTTCTCCGCGGAGCAGCAGTTCGCAAGACATGCGATCACTGCATTGGGGTTGGGCTCGCAGAAGAACGGCATGGAGATGCGGTCGGTGCCGGGGTTCACGACACGGTGCAGGGTGGAGCGGTAGCGGTTGTTGCTCCACATCTGCATCATGTCCCCAACGTTCACGACGAAACTTCCCTCCACCGGCGGGGCATCAATCCACTCACCGGACAAACCACGCACCTGCAGGCCCCCATTCTTGTCCTGGTAGAGCAGTGTCAGGATGCCGTAGTCCGTGTGCTCGCCGCACACCAGCCGTTCGCCTTTCCCTTCGTCAAGCGCAGGGTAATGAATCATGCGGAACACGCTCAGTGGCTCCACAAAGTGAGGGGTGAAAAAATCCTCTTCGATGCCAATAGCCGCTGCAAGGGCACGCAGGAGGACGAGGGCAAACTGCTGCATCTCACTGTAGTGCCTCTCCATCAATTCACTCCAGCCCTTGATCTGTGTGGGGTGCCGATTCGGCCCGCGCAGCGGCATTCCCGCAACAACATCAGGGTGATCCTCCGGCAGGTGACAGCCCATGTCAAACGTCTCCTTGTAATCCTGCGGCGCCGAAGGATCCAACTGCTCCGCAAGCACCTCGCCATAACCGCGGTGGTGCCGGCTCTTCTTGATATCGATCTGACACTTTTCCTCCAGTGGGAGTGAGAAGAAGCTGTTCGCCATCTGCGTGAGTTGCTCAAACCGCTCACGTGGAATGGGGTGCCCGACAACGTAGAAGAAACCCCAGGTGCGGCACGCCTCGTCAATCTGCCTCGCTACCTCAGTCACGCCCCCTCCGTCCCCAAAAAGAGGGGAGACATCAATGATGGGAAGAGCCGCCGTTGTCATAGGTCTAGCTTGATCAAAGCGTCTGTTTATGGTGGCCTGCGTCGCCGCGGTAGCTGTGGCTCGACTGTCTTGCGCACGCGCCTCTGTTTGTGGGTGCAAGTGCCCAGGGTGGGACGGGAAGAGGAAGCAAAAAGAAAAAAAACATCAGAAAGGCAGCCACACGTAGGCACACACACTCATATTCACACGCACACATCAGCAGCCTCCAGGCTGAGTGCAGTCAACCAAATACAATCACAACAAAAATAAAAACACACCCCGTACAGTGAAGCCGAAGCGTGGGCACGTCCACCGAGCAGTGGGGGCAACCAGCACGCACACACTCCCTCGTTTCCCGTACAGCCCAATCCAGGAAGGAGGAGGGCGAAAGAGACCGCCCACCGAAAGCAATGAAAACTAACACAATTGAAATGATTAAAACAGTTACGGTGCTCTACCCATGCAGCGAAGCAGAACGGTAGACGGCC